CTGCTTTGGCTCTGGCCTCCTCACTATTGCTTCAATAGTCAAAATAACTAAATCAAACCATATCTTCAGCAACTGGACTTGTTCTTGTGGAAATTATACTCTTCCACATTACTGTGATTCTTGAAGGGGTAAATGCCAGGACTTGTTGACTAAAGATGATTCTTTGCTAATATGGATCTTAATTTCTGAGTTTGCTCATGGCAACAAGGGCAAATTAAAGGACACAATTAAGAAAGGCTGTTTAGTAACTGGGATGGTCTTACAGGTCTGGGTGCTGTAGCTAGTACTGTGACCATGATGGTAATTGTTCATGAAGTATCAGTCCCAAGCGTAGGGTTTCCTAAATCTTCAGAGAGTAGGGTACCAACTGCCACCTATAGCTCTGAACTACTTAGGGACGACTGAAAATGCTGTACAGTTAGTGATGAAAGCAAGCCATGCAGTGCTGTCTTTCCTCTTTGTTACTGCAACTTGTTTTGTCCTGAGCAGAAGCCAAAGCATCGCATAGATGGAAACCTGTGTTAAAAAGTACTGAAAATGTAGCAATAACAAGTGTTCTCATCTCTAGCAACACAGAGTTGTTTGTTTACTTGCTGTAATATCAGACAGTATGACTGCACCAGACTGAGTCTTGTCAAAAGATCTTTGAATTCTGCTTTATACTATTCTGCTAGTTAGTCTGTCTCATCATCAAACCAGTAAGTGTTGGCTTATTGCCTAACCCACCCCTTTTCTTATATAGTGCCTACTTCTTTCTTTGTACTTCAGGAAACTTTCTCACAAGAGTCTGGTATGACAATATCCTTGATGCTTCTTGTAAGGCACCAAAGATGTTCTCAAAGAATATGGAGGAACCTCAACAGGCTTCTTCATTTCAAAGAAAAAAGATTGGTCTTCATCAGAACCTAGATAAGAGGTGGCCCAGTGTTTAATTTCTACCTTTGTATGTCTCTAAGCTCAGATGTAGTGTGTCTCAATTGGCTGTTGTCTTTCACCACTCGCAGTCTGCCTGGCTCTCAAGAAATTAAACAGTGGGATCGAATAATTGCCAGTAATGCTTCTTGAGAGTCCTAGTGGTAATAAAGTTCTTAATAAGCTCTTAGTAGTTGAAATTGCACATCTAAATCATAGGTACCTGTATCTGGATGACTGCCTGATCCAGGGAAGGTCTTGCTAGGAGATACCAAGGCCTGTTTGGATCATACTCCTTTCTTGTTGTCTCAGCTGGGACACCTTGAGATATGGAAGAGCTGTCTTGCTGGACAGAATTAATTTCTCATTGTCAAATGTTTATTTTCTGGAGGACAAGTTCCAAGTCTTTCAGGAATATATGAAAAAGTATGTGAGCACTTCTGGATTATTACTCCTGTAAGCATACATGTTCATGATACCCTTCACCTAAAGTTGATAAGAATTTTAAATTCTACTTTAAGCCATGCAGTATGCAAATAACATGGTATGGGTGATTTGCTATAGTAAGTTGTTTTGCTGTAGCAGCTGCATCCTCAAAGCTCTCTGGATGTGCTTGTAATACCCAGTTTGCTTCACCGGTCCCTTTTTGCAGACTGCCAGTTGGCTCCTACTCATGCTACTTCAGATCAGCTATTAGTCTGTGCTACTGAGGAAAAAGATGTTTTTGAGTTGTTAGGAGCAGTAGTACATAGCACACCTTCATCTACAACTTGGCTCTGTGCATGCACACAAGAAGAGATTTCTTGCATGGGCCTTGCTGGAACGGGGAAAATGGTGATCCACCACCAACCTGACACACATTCTGCATGTTCCTGCTGGTTCGGCTGTTGTTCTTTCCCAGTTGCCTGAAAACTAGGCCCAGTATCTTTGCTGCCAAAAAATTTCTCTTTTTAAAGCCGAGATTGTGAAAAATATTCCATTCAATTTTCTACCTTTTTTTAAACCTATTTATCTCATGCAGATCTTTTTAATCAACAGACCAGAATGAGATTTACTGCCTTGGCAGATTGGCTGAGTTTTTGGTGTAGGTGCTGTATATTTGTGTCTGAATTATTTTGTTCTGCTGATCATCTGGCCACTGTTAGCTCTGTCCTGAGTGAGCAAATTATTCAAAGATAGAAAGGTATGGTAACTCTGTAAGTGTAAGAAGTATGTTGCTTGTGTTTCATATTGTGGTAGACTAATACGAGTGCAGAATAAATAGCGCTTGCAGAAGAGAACTTGCACTCAAAGTATTAAAGAGGAGGCAGTAACTGGTTGTAGATAAAGCTCAGAAGCAAATGAGACCATGTTGATTAGCATGAGTAAAATGCATTTGTGGTGTCTTAGCAACCTGGCTTGTGTTCTCCGTAAAAGAGATTTTTAAGGAAGAAGTTGAAAGGAAGTCATATTTTACCTACTTACGAGATTCTTCATGGAAATCTGAGCAAATGCAAAAGGAAAAGTCAAGCTTTTTGGTTTGAAAATCTGACAGGTGGGCTGGGGAGACTACTAGCAGTTACAAGTGAGCGTATTGATACTGACCAAGATAAGGAGAACTGAAACAGATGCTGGAGAGGGATATGATTCTTAAAGTTAATCTTTACAATTTTGGGTTGCAGGCTTATTATCCCAAGCAGTTATTACAAGGAAATAGGAGGGGAGCCAAGGATGTAACTAAGGAATCAAGGACTTGCAATAAATCCAGCTCTTTCATTGTCCTTCTTTGTGGTCTTTTGTCATGGTAATTTATCTTACTTAGCCCGCATCTGACAAAAGAACAAGTTCATGGATACAAAAGATCTGTGTAAGTACTAATTATTTTGTTAGAACTTAATACAAATCAAGTTAATTAGATTTAAATAACCTCTTGCCAGGAAGGTATGTACAATCCAACTGTGATATCTGGCTCTCTGTCCAGCTACTGAGCTCATTCAGACAGAATATGATCTACCTTGTAAACAACAAATTTGCTTATTGCTCATTGTGCTTTTATGGAGGGAAACAAAAGAAAAACAAACCCATATTTTCTTGTTTCAAAGTTTTACTTTACAACTTCACTGTGTATCTATGTATTACTGCATTTAAATTTAAAACTAGATTTTATTATTGTGCCAGCTTTTTAGGCAGAGTGGGTACATGTTAGAAGAAGAAACTTAGTACATACATTCTAGGAATTTTTTTACTCTCACAATCAACGAGTGACTTGTTAGCAATTTCTCTCAGCAGTTCTTCATCTGCTAGAACGAAGGAAAAAAGGCTTACTAGAAGAAGAGGCACAAAGGAAGCCTTCTTCTGTATCTTTGTTTCTTGTGGTGGTTCTGTTCTACACTGAAGTGTGGCTCTAAAAATACTTATGCTTTTGCCCAGATCAAGAGAATAGTAACCCTAGGCCGCAAACCCTTCCTTCCTCTGCAATTAGGAAAATGGAGCATTCAGTAATGTGTTAGGAATTTTGGAAAAAAAAGCAAGAACCAAGAGCTTTAACCGTAAGTCTACTTCATTCACAACTTGAGTTAGGCCACAAAAATCTTTAATGAAGTAGTATATTGTGAATTCTGAAGCCTTGTAGAAAGGGTAGCTTTTTTTTTAAACTTTTCAGAGAACAGATAGTTTGCTTAACTTTTGATAGAAATACATGCAGTATTTTAACATTTAGATGTGTATTACTTATTATGCAGAAGGGTTCAAATAACCCTTTTGGCTTTTATTTCATGGGAAATCCCATTTTGGTTATTGGAGGGAAGTATGAGAATGAATGTAAGTTGTTTGGTTTTGGGTTTTTTTTTTTATACCCAAAAAAAGCTGCGTTAACTTGAGACTGATACTTGAATCTTTCCCTGAACTGCTGAAAATGGTCCTGAAGATGATTTTTACATGTACTGTAATTTTTGCAGTGCTTTTGCCTTTTATAGGTTTTGTTATGATCCATCATGTTTTGGTTGTGGCTTGGTTTGGGTTTTTTTTTTTTTTTTCGCAATTCACACATGTATGTAGAAAGGGAAAAAACCCCTCTTGTTTTCTAAGAAGCTGCATAATGGTGGTGTATTAGTGGCTTGATGTCTTTTGCTGTGAAGTCATTGGACTAACAGTAATACAAATATTTTTTCTTTGTGGCCCTTTACAGAGTGGCTAAAAATAATTTCACAGGCTTATGGCTATGTTAGTTATGGAAGCTTAGTGGCCTGTTATATTCTTTTGCTTGATGTTACATTGCTGGTACAACTTGTCTGGCCACTTTACATTAAGATAAAGAAAGAGGATGATGAGGTGCTGCTAAAGCAGAGTGGATACTTCTGGCCTCTGGTTTACACTCATTTCACAGTGGTATGACAGGACAGATTTCTGAGTAAAGAGGAGTATGTGCCTTATACCAAAGTATTCTTGAGTTCTGCCTCTGAAATGTGGTAGAAACTTTGGCAGCTTAACTAAAACAATAGTTTCATAATGATGGGGGAGGGCATCTATATCATGGTGGTGCATATGAAATCTTGAATTGGGCATGTTATTACTGATCATCTTTTTTTTTTTTTTATTGTGACTTTAAAAAAAAATCTGTGTACATAGAGCTTCCACTCCTAACACATTTACATGAAGGGTATATCCAGCCTGTGTGTGTATCTGGATTTAAAAAAAAAAGTCCTCTAAGCAGTTCAAGAAAAAGATGCTATTACTGGCTTGCTGAGAGAGGATTAATTAGGAAATGTCCTCCCTTATCTGGATTTCTAGAAGTTACAGTGGTTCACTTCCTCTTAGCAGAGAATTATTATACAGAATGACACAAGGCACTATATTAAATAATTATGTTATCTATTTGTTCTCTGGGGCTTGGTATTTTGGGTAAATTTGAAGTTATTTGCTCGACAGCTGTTTACTTGTCAAATGAAGGGATCAGCTTGAAATAACTTGTAACAGAGTGTGGTATGTTTGAGAATAAATAAAAGTCAGGGGGAATCTTGAAATCTGGGAGATGTCCAAGAGGATCTTTTCTGCATAAATACTAGCTTTACTCTGCATACCTTTTATTCCCCCCCTCCCCTTTTCTCCAGTACTGATACTCGAAAAGGTGGAAAATGGAGATCTGAGCAACAAGATATTGAAGATCACGGATTTCGGCTTGGCCAGGGAATGGCATAAAACTACCAAAATGAGCGCAGCTGGGACATATGCCTGGATGGCTCCTGAGGTCATCCGCTCCTCCATGTTCTCCAAAGGCAGCGATGTGTGGAGGTATTGATTTGGCATTAAATGATTGGGTACTAAAGAGTAACTAGATGTGCCAGGAAACCTCTTTTATGTTTAAGAATGAGTAATGGTGAACCAAATATTAAAATTTAGGTCCTAAAAAAAAAACTTTATCCACCAGCTTTCCATCTATCGAACTCTCAGACTACTTTGTATTTAGTAATAAATATTTTTTTAACTGTAGAAACTGGTGGACCAGCTCCTGCATGCCTCTCAATTTTTGTTGTTCTATAAATTTACTTTCAAGATTATCCTAGGGTTTATAATTGTAATTCCCTCTGCTTTATCTAAAAAAAGCCTTTTTGTGCTTATTTGGCTATTGGCTAGCATAATCAAAGGCCATAAACCAACCTGTGAAGCACTTAAAATTACTACTTTTTTTACTGTTTTACCAACAGTAAGATCATTTTATGTTTTGGTAGTAATCTGTCACTGATGTATATGTACACAAACACACTGTACCTAACCAAATTCCCAGTGCAGTTTCAGCCCAAATACAATGTTTTTACTTTCATAATAATCTTATGAATTATTTCCACCCTTCTAGTCTTTCACATAAAATAATGGATCTCTTCTCTAGGTCCATCTGAGTATATAATCCATAAGTAGTAATTGCTAATAGTAATTACATAGACATATGTATTGTCTTTTCCATTCATGCACTGGGATTTTTGAGCTAGTTTGGTGGGGAGGAGTGTAAGGGTCGGCCCCTAGACTTCCTGAAAGTGAGTTTGAATATGACCATTAAGTGAATTGGTAAATCTAGAATTCAGTAAATAGCTCTAGGACAGTGACTTTTCTGGATGCTGTGTGACATAGAGTTAGTACTGAACATCTGAAACAGATGAAGTAGATGGAATTTTGTTTTTCCTGTGGGGAGAGAGGTATTGAAATGTCAGGGTGACTTCATCCTTAGAGCAGTAAGATTCTGTTGGTGGCCAGTAATGTTCCCACACAAGTGTGTGCATGCTGTGAAATCTGTCGGGATAAAGAAATATCCTGGCAGGCAGAATTGTCTGGCTGTTATGGCAGAGATTTGGTGTGGGGATTTTAATTTTCCTTATCCAGTTTTGCTGAATAAATAATGTATTGCCTTGTGATGAATGTATGAACTTGTGTTTTGCCCGCTAATGGTGTGGATAAAATTCTGACTCTGTAATTAAATGTGGTAGCCTCTGTAGTTAATCGGAGATGAACTGAGCAAGAACTAGGCATTTATTCTAAGGGAAGTCTGGCAGAAATGAAAACCTCAAGGCTGTGTACCTTTTCAGTGTGCATGATGGTTTGTACACAGCTTGTCAAGCTCAAACCTCAATTTGCTCTTCTCTGAAACAGTGCCAGGAATGGCCTTCAAGGGTAACCTGGGGGAGAGGGAGAAGGGAAAGGGGAAACAATTTCTCTGTGATTGTAACTTTATTAATCCAGGCACACAGTGATCAGATCAGTAGATGTTCTGTACCAGTATGACCTCATCTTAAAAAAGACTTAATAGGTCAGTTGGTGATTTTCATGAATGTAGCTCAAGTGCCTCTGTACCTGTGTGAAAATACCAGTTTGGTCATTGACTTAAGGACTGTGAACCACTTCAGGACTTAAGGATCGTAAATAACTTAAATTATTTGTTAGTTTTTCAGAATACTGTATTTCTATTTTTAAGATTCCTTCATCACTTTCTCTTTTTGTAGTTACCAGTTTTCCCTTGAAAACACGTTGAGTTCCTCTCAGTGCTCTTCCTTAAAGAGAGGGTCATCACCATTAAGAGAGCTGACATACTGTCTCTGAATAAGCCTGCTCTCTCTCTGATGGCCAAAACATTGAGTCATGGTTAAATAAGCTGAAAGGTGTTTGAGGCATGTATACAGACGACAAGTAATTGCCCGTGCAGTCACTACTAAGCGTGTCAATGATTGTAAGCACTAGACTTTACAAAAGCAGTCATGGACATGTGTAATAAATCCTGTCACCACCCAAGGATGCAGCTTGAAATTCTTAACAGGATGAACTTTTTTATCCTATTAGACTTGCCCCTCCTCTTGTCCACTTCAACCTCTTGGTTAATCTCTGGAGTTGAGGGAGTTTTTTGCCTGACAACCTCCCAGTTAGTCTGTACAGCATCTGCAAAATTGGCTGTCTCCGTCTCTAACATTCACAAACTCTTTTATTTCAACACCTTTTCTTGAAAGTTTATTAGAATAATACTGCTGGCTGTGTTGTTGCCCAGCCTTTTAATGAGACTCTTGCTCTGCTTATGTTCTTGCTGCACAAACAGGTGAAGATGATGCTTGCCAGGTCTGAAATTTCCTGAGTCAGTCTTATAATAAATAACTGTTTCATGCAATTCCTTTCAAAACGTATATCAAGATCCATTTAAAAAAAAATTAATCTGGTGGGTTGGTTTTTTTTTTTTTGTTCCACTCTAAGGGAGGATTGGCAAAGAACTTAGAAGGCTGAGGAATGCTCCCACACACTGGTGTCTATCACCAGGGTCTGGGCCACTGTAAAGCTTGTTAATAATAAGAGTACTTAGTACATCTTGCTAGTGAAAATTTGTTGTTACGAATTTTGCTGTGCTGCATCCGCAAGCTTTACATATACAGCAGAAACCTTATGCTTATATTGCACAGAGGACAAAGAAGCTACTGTTCTATTTAAATATGTCAGTTCCTGTAAATCTGTTTGTGTTTGAGAGAAGAGTTACATATTTGCTTTGGATTTACAGGGGTGAAGTTTAAGCACAGATACTGCAGCTTATCCAGTACTGCACAGCAAGCTAATGTTAGTAGGCCTGTAATTCAAATTTCCCTGTCATTTTAACTGCTTAAACATATTTCTTGTTTGCTGCACACTTGGTTTTTGACTTGTGCCACTTAAAAGACAACCATGATGTCAATATGATTGGTTTGTGGAATATAAAGCCACCATACAACCTTCATCTGGGTTCTCTGTGTTCCTCAGCTTAGATGCTTTAAGGTGTACCTGCTCTGAGACCAGTGAAATAATTAGGAATTTAATTTTCATTTAGGAATGGAATACCCAAACTACCTACAAGCATCTGATTAGCAGACCAGGATGTTTCAGGCATTCAGTGGAGGGTGTAGGAACTTCAGTCATTAGAATATTTAATTTGAATCAAGTGTTGGCAAGCACTTCCATCTACAGCTGACTGCTTGCAGGCCTCTGTAGTCTTCTGTGTGTAATGAAGCACTGGCAAGACTTCAGTACCTGGCAGATAGGCATTGACTAGCAATATTGGTAGAAGCTCACTTGGGAGAAGTGTACACAACTGACTTGTGAAATAAGCAGGAAATACCATCTCTGGAACTGCCAGTCCGACAACATGCAAAATGCTACTGTTAATAGCCATGAAAATGTAATGATGTTTTTTCTTAACAAAAGTAATTTTCTAGTTTCTGTTGTTGCTGGGATCAACTCGTTGGGCTTGATAGTTCGTTTCTCACAGGAAGTGCTGAACCTAGGGAGATAGATCAGAGGTACAAATGCCATTGAATGATAACAGTGAGAAGAAATTCCTGGGTTTTTTCTAAGTTCACAGACTTACAAGGGAGGTGGCAAAATCACATGTGAAATCCTGCAGACCTCCAGCCTCCCTCTCCCTGAAAATCTAGTGTGTAGGATTGAACCTGATGTTAAATGGCTTAAGGGATTACTGGATCACTGGGAGATGGTTAATTATTCATACAAGTGTCAATTGACTTGGACGCATGGTCTGTATCACATGGTTCATTTCATAATTAAGGTCCAAAAATTACTACTGGTTACTGGAAAAATAAATGAGCTTTATCAGTTTTTCTTCCTCCCTGTTGAGAATGAGGAGAGGCCCTCGATTCTTTCTTCCTGTGCTTTTTTTTTTTTGTATAAATCTCTTCAGTCTCTGGCTTTTTCCTTTGTAATTCCCAATCCCCTGCTTGAGAGTTAATGGGGAACTGTTCAGCACCTCTCTTGATGTTTAATCACTTGGGATGATTGTTGTTCAAATGCCACAAAGCAGTTCTTTGGAAGAAGTATTCTCAGCAATGAACTGTAAGCACATGAGGAAGAGGTGGCATTCAGTTTTGTCAGAAACAAAGTGGCCTTTCCTGCAATATATACTTCTAGTATCACATTAGAAGAAATGCCAATCTGTCCACTCCTTTGTCTTTTAAAAATTACCCTGCAGAAGAAATGCACATCAATAATGCTTTCCTAACCATTCCATTGAAAGAAATATCTAATACATGCTTTATCCTGTACTAGTGTTAAAGTAATAACACAACTCACTGGTGATTTTTCCTACCTTTTGATATCAACGCTCTCATCCAAACTAAAGAGCAACATGAACGATCAATCAGATTTAGACAGGCCAAATATATATTCAGTCCGGTATTAATTTTCTTTGAGTGTCTTATGAATCCTAGGAGGCCAAAAAGAAAATGGGAAATTCTTAAACTCCTGTTTATTTCTTTCAAATGAGGCTCTTGATACAGTAAGAAATTGAGAACCTGGATGGAAAGTAATAATCAATTATCATTACAATATCAAGAGTATGAATTACGTAGGAAAAATGCAAAAGATTGTGTAAGTGAAAAAATGTTTTGCTTAATAAAGTAAACTAACTGTGTTAGGTGGATTCTCTAGTGACTGAAATTCCATATCTAAATAGGAAAAGTAGTATTAAGACTGTCCAACTAAGGTGGCAGTGGTAACAATGAATGTTAAAGACTTGGTGGGGTGGGGGTGGTGGAGATTGCAAGAGTACAGGTTGTGATAATGACAGTTTTGATTACTCCCAAATGGATAGGGCAATGGTTGCTTTGCAACAAGAAGAGATTAACCTTTTAGCTTCAGCAATGACTGTTTTGTGGAGCAGCTATTCAGGGAGCTTTGGGAAGAGAAGCAGTTTTTTATTTGGTATTCAGGTATGCTTAGGAGGGCTTCAAAATTGTACAGTATATGCATACTTAGATTCAATATCTTTGCAACGGCAATTAAGAAAATTTAGTCCATTACAGTAGTGTTTAGTTTCGAGGAGATTAATGACAACATTGAGGAATTTTGTGTAAAAACAACAAAAGGGGAACTCGCAACGTGGATATCTTTTAAGGATGCTATGTTAACGCTGAGAGCAAATGCATAGGAAAGACTTTAAATGAATGAAGAAGACGATGTAGAAGAGTCTACTGGAAGACATCCTTCAAAAAGTTGAACCTGTATCCAAATGAGGAAAATTAGGCATGAACTGAAGTGTTGGCAAGTTGAACATAAAACATTCAAGAGGATTGAAAGGGTTTTGAGGAGAGTCTTGCAAACGGCATAAAACCAAATACATTGCTTTCAAATGCAGCACAGGTGAGAACCCTGCAGGAGAACATACAGCCCAGGGGTGACCAAGATGTAAGAGTACAAAGATGATGAAGCTGTAGCAGAAAGAAATCTTAGTGACTTGTGTCTGCTAGAATGGAGCAAAGAGGCTTTTTAAACTGAAAATTTCTCTTTAAGGGAGTTGAGCTGTAAGAGATCTCATACTGAAGTACTGTCCACAGAAGTGTTAAAACTGACTGATAAAATGAACGGTAACAAATTCCTGGGATTTACAGTAACACCCAAGATTTCTGCAGGTACACGAGAGCACCAGCTGAGTTAATAGCTGTGCTGTGTAATCTGTTGCTTAAAGCTGCCTTAATACCAGAGAAATGGAAGGCAGCAAACATAATGATAGGTCTTAAAAGAGCTTCCCGAGGATCAGCAAGTCTGATTTTCAGTTCTACTAAATGGTAGAAACAGCACTAAAGAGTGGGAAGCTGGTGGACATATAAGCATATCTGGGGAAGAGTCAGCTTTTATAGAAGGAAACTGTATCTTGTGAAAAAAAGAAAATTCTTGAAGGAGTTACTGAGTATGTGGACAAGTGGTAAGATTGCTTATAACATATTTGGATTTATAAAAATTTTCAACAAAATCTTCCATCAAAAGCTTTTAAAGAAAGTAAATTGATGTGGGGAAAGAGGACAAGTCTGTTTCCCATCACTTAGTCAATTCTTAATTACTAAAAGAATAAATCTGGTTTCTTGGTGGGAAATTGTGTTCAACATCATCATAAGTGATTTGAAAAAGCAATAAATGGTTAGGTAACATTTGTCGATGATACCAAGTTATTTAGGATAAGAAAAATTAATCTACTGCAGGGAGTTGAGGAGAAGTTTTATTATACTGAATGATAAAATAGATGAAATGGTAGTAAATACGAAGTAGTACCCATGGGAGAATTTCACATGTACAATGATGGGCTCTGAATTTTACTGTTATGATTAGGTTAAAAGATATTGGAGTTACTGTGGATAACTTAGCTCATTTTGTAAGGAGTCAGAAAGGCAGGTGGCAAATTAAAATTTAACGGGAAAGAAATGAAGAAAACTGGAAATATTGTGCCTGTCCCCACATCTTTAAGACTTTACATGATTTTGATCATTCCAGCATAAAATGTTTAAATGGAATGAGATGGTACAGAAGATGTCAAGGTCAATGAAAGATCTGAAACAGCTTCTGTTTAGGAGAGTAATTAGATTGGGATTTATCTAGATTAGGATTTTGGGAGCTGGAAAGAAGATGATTTAGGCAGGATGTAGTGGGAGCCTGTGAAATCATGGATGGCATGGAGGGAGCTAATAGGAAACATATGTTCACTCTTCCTTGTGTTGAAAGAACTATGGGGAAGCAAATGAAATTACTAAGTGACGAGCTCAAAACAAACACATGGAAGTATTTTTTTTGCAATGCATCATTAAATTTGTGGAAGTCAGTACCACAGAACATAGTGGACGGTAAACTGGTTCATAAGAGAATAAGACAGATCAAGGGAAGAAAAAACTGTCAGGTTACTAAGTATGAAGAAGCCATCTCTGGCTCAGGTTTCCTAGAAGCAGAGAGAATATTCTGAGGATATGTTGTTTGTTGTATACCTGGGGGGGAGAACAGTACTGGAACTATTTCCATAACTTCATAGTTAATATTTCATAGAACATCTTAAGAACATCTTAATTCTGAAGAAGTATTTTTCTCTTATTTTTAAAAATCACAATACACCAAGCAACCCTCTGTCACATTTTTGAGAGTTTGACTGGGTTCTGGTTTGAAATTTGCTAAATTAGTTAGAAGATTTACGTTAATATTTTTCAGATTGTTCCCAGTTTCCAGAGAGAAAATGATTTTTGCCTAAAAGGCAAAAATGGCATCTTATTTCAGTCTTATTAAAAGAAGCAGGTAAAATAAGACACTTCACCCAGCTTGGCAGCCATGATGAGTTTGTCCAGAAAACTGCAATTTCTTCAGTGTGCCAGACTTACCCTGATAAATTCAAGTACTTTCTTGTTGCTTAACAAAGAATGTGTTAAACACCTATTCTCTTTTCTGTTTTCTTCCTGGTAGTTATGGCGTGCTGCTTTGGGAACTGCTAACAGGAGAAGTACCGTTCCGAGGAATTGATGGTCTTGCAGTAGCATATGGTGTTGCCATGAATAAACTTGCCCTTCCAATCCCTTCCACATGTCCAGAGCCTTTTGCCAAACTCATGGAAGGTAAGCCAGCTGTGGTGTGAGTATGGTTTGTGCTGTTTCTAGAGGGCTGTTGAGCATTGCCTCCTTGTGTTGGTTTTGATACTTAAAAGCACAGATTTCTCAAAGGGTTTAATTCAATGGTGCAAGTTATTAAGGGAGCTAGGCTTGGCTGTTAGTGTGCTGTGACAGTTACTTTATTACAAGAGTAGTATGTGAAAGAAATGTCTCTGCCATTTTATATCAGCTGGCTTTATAGGAAAATGAGGGCTATTGCTGCTATCTAGCTTGTAGTTCTCGAGTAGCAAAGACTCAACACCAAAACTTCATGTATTTTTTGGTCTAGTTTGAAGTCTTCAACTTCCTTTGAAATTCATAGCTTGAACATCTTGCTAGGCAGTGTTAGATTGATTTGGAATGAAACTTTATCCTACTGACGTTTTGGAGAGAGGGTTTAAATGTGGCTTTGACATTTGAAAACAACCCAAATTTTCAGTCAGAATAATGTGCTTTTCTGCTTTGAGTGTGGAGATAATTCATGCCCAAGGTGGGCTACATATGGATGAAAGAAATATAGGAGTTTGTCATCAGAGCTGCTGTAGTCATTAAAAAGGGTTCTGTGAGGTAGATTTTGGGGTGTACCTGTGTGACCTGCTCTGTTGGCTATTGCAATTACTTGCATATCTCCAAGCTTCAGTTGTTCCTTCCTTCCTTTCCTCCCTCTCTCACAGTAGTACCTTTAGTGGCTTTTTCCCAGTGCCAGGTGTTTATGTGTAATAAACATTTTCATACCTATCTGGCAGAAAGAAAAACAGAGGTAAAAAGAAATCAAACATGTCTTATAGTCTTAGTGAGCAAAGAATGAGTCTGAACATAGAGCTGATGTTCTGTGGCCTCTGGTGGTGTTTTTAGCTCCGAGAAAGGAATTTGATTTATGCAAGAAAATGTGTCTGATGGATTTCTCTGCTTTTTGAATACTTCTGCACGTCTCTGGTCTATTTCTGGAAGTTACAGGCTTCAGTTAAGTTAAAGTAGAAAATTTCGTATACTGTACTAAAAAAGAAATGTCCTACTGGATAGTAAACAGTAGCAGAGTTGCAGGTACAATAGTTTGGAAGCAATGTAAAGCAAGAAACTGCATCTGAAAGAGTAATGGAACTACCAGCGTAGTGTTGTGCCAGGGCAATTTATTTTGACATGGTTCACTAAAACAAGGACTTTGGATTTCTTATAAGTGAGGTATCTACTGCTGGGGTTAAAAATAATGCCCTCTATTGGGAAAGTCAGGTAGAGGCATATGGCCTGAGCTTGAACCCAGCAGCTCAGGGGTGAGCACCCACATGGCTTTGGAACGCTTGGCTTCTCCATGTGCAGGGGGAAGAAGAGAAAAAGAAAACAATTACTTTCTGCCTCTTCACCAAAACTGTTTTTCAAACAGGCTGTTTCCCGTCTTGGGTGAACTCTTGTTCGCCTAATGCTGCTTTTACTTTTGAATTACTGCCCTGGTGGTCTTCACTGAGACAACAAAGCTGAACTTTCCCTCTTCACAGAAAAGACTTGTATGTTACAACTGTCCTCATTAGTGCAAATAATGGCAGATCTAGGCCTGGGAAAATAAAAGCCACGGGCCACCTGCATAGTTATCCTGTTCATTCACTCATGCATTTGGCTGGCTGCAGCAATTTGTTTTACTTTGGGTCATGTTTGCTTTGCCATGCTTAAAACCTGGGGTAAAGAGGCAAGGATTATGGCACTGACAGTCCAGCTGTATCACCCATCGCTACTAATTGGTCAGCAGCAGGGGACCTTCAGAGCACTCTTTAACATCCTTAGTACTCTATTTTGTTAGAGAAGCAATTTGAAATCCATAAACACAAATGTGTTCCAGCTTATGCCTCCTGGAACCTGATCAGATGCTTAAATACCAGCATCTTGATACCAGCAGTTTTGAAACCAAAGCTCCCAAATGCAAAATCTCAGTAACACTAAAATCAAAGAAAAGACCTGCAAAACTAAGTTGCACAGATTTTGTGAAGTGTTACTTATTTTTAATTACAGCTGCTCCTTGGTGTATTTCAGTCCACAGAAATGATGAATGAATGTCTTTTAGGACATCACCAAAATTTTTTCAAGTACGTTTCCTTTTTTCCAGCTGTAAGGCCTAGGAGGCTTTAGAAGGTTTTTATAACTCTCGCCTTCTGCTGCAGTAATGTATGTCTTTAAATCCAGTGAGCATTTAGAGCAATGACAGTATGAGAATACTGAGAGAAACCCATGTGTTAGTTTCTTCCATTCATGTACAAAAGTTGTATTCCCTAGAAATATACTTGAATGTGAAGTTTTTGTGTTTGGTTCCTCTCAAATTTTGGCATGCAGGAGCCCAGCAGCACTAAAGAGAATAAGGATACTTGTTGAACAAGAACCTGTGTAAGTCCCAGTACAGGACAATATATAGAATGAGGAAGTAATGTTTTCTGCAGGGAGTAGAAATAAGGGTGAAGTAAGAGGGAGGACTGAATGAGTAAGGACTTCCTATTCAAATGTGTTAAGTCAAACATTTTGACTTAATGGCTTTTAAAAAACATGTTCTTAATGATTTTGTAGCTTGAAATGTTACTTTATACTATTTTCTGTTTCTGTTTTCAATGTTCAGTTCCCATCACTGTAAAAGTACCTTTTTGTACTATTGCTAGTTGTGTTGCCTGATGTGGTAAGATGGGTACCTTAAATTCTGCAGTTTGAGAGCTCTGTAATTGAGTAAGTTTTATTGCATTAGATTATAAATGAAAAAGATTATCTGTGGTTTTTCTTAAAAGCAAAGGAAAAAATCCCGATCAAACAATTTTCTCTCAGATAATAAAAAATAACCCTTAAAAATAAGAAAACTCCAAATACACTGTTTGATGTCATTATTTACTTGAATCTCCTATTTTCACTCAAGCTATGCCCAGTCTGCCTTGCAGGAGAGATTTTCAGTTCTGTGGAAGAGATTCATAATGACTCAGCTTAATATTACAGCTGGGCATTAGAAAGAACTCTGGTAGATATTCTTCTGCAGTATGGCTGTTAACTCTGTAGTGTGAGTGTGATAAAGAACTGTTTGCAAGAGTCTTGCGTAGTATCTGCACTCTGTGAGCACATACAACTTAAAGCAAAATATCTAAGGAAATTATTTATGATTTTTTTAATATATGCTTGAAAACCTAACTTTCTGTAAAATTGGTAAACCTCTATTTTACTTGGCGTATTATCGTAACAGAACCTGGAGACCAGGTAGTTCAAGATCTTGAGTGATGCTGGATAAGGTATAAGCATGAATTCCGTACTTGACTTATGATTGCACAATAGTCAATGCAAGTGGGAAATGGGAAAGATGGGGTAACAGAGATAGTGTGCATTCCGCTCTTAGCCACTGGGGATCAGTAAAGTACTGCTCATCCTCTCAAACCTCCATACTAAGAGATGCTTAACAGTTGCTTGTCTTTGTCCTATTCTAGATTGTTGGAACCCTGACCCACACTCACGACCTTCCTTTGCCAGTATCCTAGACCATCTCACTGCCATAGAAGAGTCTGGTTTCTTTGAAATGCCCAAAGATTCCTTCCACTCCCTGCAGGAAGACTGGAAACAAGAGATCCAAGAGATGTTTGATCAGCTCAGAGCCAAAGAAAAGGTAAGTAGAGAAAACCACTCCATGCTTGTGCTCTCTGATTATAGTTTTCCCATTTCATAATTCAAACAGGGATCATCATTTAGTGAATCCCAGAGTTAATTTTGTGTGTGCTTTACTGGAGCTTGTAATAAGTCCCCGAATCAATGGCAGGTTATAATGCACACAAGGGCAGAATCATGAGTAAAATAAATATCTGCATCCTGAGCCATTACTCTTTCTAATTTTGTAGTGAGCTTCCATTATACACTGTGCAAACTGCTATGAAGAGTTGTCTTCATTGTTAATGCATCTGATAACTATTTCACTGTTAGTGTCTTAATTGAGAAGCCCAATGATAACTGTTAACAGTAAAAGTAGGAGGGGTAGTTTCAGTGTATATACTCCAGCAAACGTTGCAGGTTTGGTTCTGTCAGGTTTGTGTTTTCCAGGCTTTGAGCACAGCCGAAGTGGATAGACTATAATAAACATGAGTACTACTAGGGGAATGGTCCAATAACTGTTATAATTGAAGTCCATCTGGATAAATAGCAGGAAACAAAAATGCTAGCAGGAATAAAAGGAATTGTGACTATCGGCTTCAAAGAGTAGAAGTGAAAAAGCTGAAGTTTTCTTCAAGCATACTTGCAGAAAGTACAGCTTGCTGCATCTATGTTAAGGTCCTTACAGAGACTGTTTTTACAGTTGTTGATAGGAAATACTGCAGTGGAATCACTAAAGTAATAATATTTTTCCCAAGTTCACTGTCTCTCACCTAAAGATAAATCTGTAATAAGCAGCCAACTTGATGCTTGATTTGGGCTCAGAAGTTTGGTTTATGAAGCAGAGAGAAAGAAAAGGAGACCTGGGGGCAGGGGTGAGAAGTTCTACAACAGTACTTAAGACATTTCTATTCACATATTGTAGTAGCTTTTGGGAAAAATAAAATAGCTCATAGGAATTTCCCTGCTGCTGTTGTCCCATGGCATAACTGTGTTGGAACAGTTTTTGAAAGCCAGAAACTTCAACAGACAAACAGAAGACCAAATAGTAGTAGCTAAACTGCCCTCAGGTTTTGAGTACTGTATTCCTCTGTAGCAATGGAGAAAGAGAATTTTATATCCTATTCACCTCATGAGCAAAATGTACCAAACCTCTGTGGTGATGGGACAGGTAACAAAGACCTGTTATTATTAAAAAAAATTAAATTAAGCTAAAATCTATCTGAAGTTTAACTTGAATTCTTCAGTTTTTACTTTCTGCAGTGGAATTAGCCAGCTGAAGATAATTATTCTGAGGCTGAATTCTTTTGTCCTTGTGGTGAGAGGAGTGCAGTGAGAAGACATTTTGAGATCTCGAGGACAATTTCAGTTGATTTATTTTGTCAACAAGGGAAAGATTGGAAGGTTTGTCTTATGCATCTTTATGCTTCAGGAGCAGCCATGCTTGGTGGAAAATGATGGAAATGACCTCCTGATGATGTTTTCTTCATTCATTTTTATGTTAGAGCTGTGGTTTTTTGCTATTTTATGATGCATGAGATGATAAGGTTATTTTTAAAGTCAATACTGAAGTTAACATAGGTTCTTACTGAACAGAAAGGCAAGTATTAATTTTTTTCAACGTTATGAATAAATCTTCCAAAATGGGTTCCCATATGCAAGGTACTCTCCAATGGCTCTTGTAAACATGTTTATGTCAGATACTCAGCATATTTTCTCATGACACTGAATTTAGGATTCAGTACCTTTTCACAGAATCACAGAATGGCTGAAGTTGGAGGGACCTCTGGATGTCATGTGGTCCAGCTCCCCTACTCAGTCAGGGCCACCTAGAGCCAGTTGCCCAGGACCATGTCTAGATGGCTTTTGAATATCTCCAAGGAGGGAGACTCTACAGCCTCTCTGGGCAACCTGTGTCAGTGCTCAGTAACACTCACAGTAAAAATGTCTTCAAAGGGAATCTGTGTTTCAGTGTGTGCCCATTGCCTCTTGTCCTGTTGCTGGGCACTGCTTAAAAGAGCCTGGCTCTATCTTCTTTGCACCCTTTGTTCAGGTTTTTATATACACTGCTAAGATCCCCCTTTCCCCCACCCAAGACGTCTTTGCTAGGACAAACAGACCCATCTCTCTCAGCCCTTCCTCATAGGAGAGATGCTTCAGTCTCTTAATTGTCTTCATGGCCCTTCGTTAGACTCTCTCCAGTATGTCCATGTCTTTCTTGTATTGGAGAGCCCAGAACTGGACACAGGATTCCAGGTGTGGCCTCACAAGCGCTGATGTCCAAATTTTAATGCTTATATGAATGGCAAGCATAGAAGTTCTTGAGGACTGTTTTAGGTTTTTTGGCTTTCAGCTGAGCCTTTGAACAGTGGCACTAGCGGTGTGGTGAGCACAAGTCATTGCTGCGGTACCTTCAGAATACATAATGTTAGTCGTAACCTACAGGTCACAAGGTAGCTTTTTGTTTCTCCTTTCTTATCTCCCCGCAGGAGCTGCGCACATGGGAAGAAGAGCTGACTCGTGCTGCTGTTGAACAGAAGAACCATGAGGAGTTGCTACGAAGGCGGGAACAGGAGCTGGCAGAACGTGAGATTGACATCCTGGAAAGGGAGCTCAACATCATCATCCACCAGCTGTGTCAGGAGAAGCCTCGGGTGAAGAAACGCATGGGGAAGTTCAAGAGGAATCGTCTCAAGTTAAAAGATGGCAATCATATCAGCCTGCCTTCAGGTTGGTGACGTGTTAGGCTGTGTCAGATGAAATGGGAGGAACATGTGAACCTGTAGCTTTGGTAGCTCCTTTCTACTGGTACTTACACATTAGAAAGTATTGGATGTACTTTGGGGAAAAACATGCCTCTCTTGGATCAAGAAACTAAATTTGATGCTCTTGTGGCTTGCATTCCCCAAAGTTCCAAGTATGAAGGGCAGAAGTAAATTTGAGATGTTATGTGTAGGTTAGTCAATGGCTGTATATGGTTCATGGTTAAAATGTTGGTGTTGCAGTTTAGCATGTAATGCTCAAAATGATCCTTTAATAAAGTATGTACATAAAAAATGGTGGAGGTTCTTGCTCTCGGAATATTTTACATAATGCTGCAGCAGAAACCATAATCTACTGGATTTCTTGGTGCAGGAATCTAAAAATTACCAAAAATACGTTGATAGGTGTGAGACTACAGCCCTATATTGCTAGTTCACATGTGAACTCATATGAACACACAAGTGACCTCTAATACCACCCTTCTGGAAGAAATGTTAAATATTGGTGAGGTGTCAAGGAAGTCACTCTTAAGAGTAAAGAATGTTGAATCCTTAGTATTTCTGCTGTGGATTCTGTATGGAGATGGTTTTGTAAATCACCTAAGGCTCATCATTACCTCAAGGATGATGGCTTACACTAAATTCTTTGTTTTCTGATAGACTGGCTGTTCAGAAGAGCAGTGATGGTAAAATGTGCATGTTAACTATGCCTTTCTTTAGGCCTGTAAACCCACCTATTGCTGGTGGGTTTGCTTAGCTTAAGAAACTGAGAGATAAGATGAAAGGAATTTATACAGGGATATACTTTGACATAAATGTCAGTCAACACATGGGCATCTATGTATGTATGTATTTCACACATACATTAAGATATATCTTCATGAGGGTGAGCACACGTCTTTGTTCTAAAGTAACTGCAAGTACAACAGGGGGATAGTGTTTAGCTGTAAAACTTCATTTCTACATAGATCCTGTAAATTGAGCTCTTTGAAAGTTACTGTAAATTATTATTTCTTTTTTTCTTATATTAAGAAAAGAATTTTAACTGTGTCTTTCTTGTTTGTTTTGATTTTTTCTTTTGGTAAACAGATTTCCAGCATAAATTCACTGTGCAGGCTTCTCCAACGATGGATAAAAGGAAAAGCTTGATCAGTAGCTGCTCCAGCCCTCCTGCAAGTCCTACCATTATTCCCAGACTCAGGGCCATACAGTGTAAGGAGCTCAATGTAGTATTGAATTTGGGAAATGTGCAGTCTGTCAGCGTGGTAAGATGCCAAGATTCCATATCTAGGACAGGACTGTAAAAAAGACCAAACAAACAAACCTAAAATGTTTGCCTTGTGCCCTGCATGTGTGCATTTAGAGAGAAAAATGGAGTGTGGTGGTAAGGGGGGCAGGGGGCTACCATCTTCTTCGGAGTCCAAACCTTAATTACCAAAGTTCTTGAAATATTGCTGTTTGATTGTATAGAAAAAACATTCCTTAGGTGTACAGGTTAATTTTGAAAAATACTAATTTGCAGAATAGATCTGTGAAACATTATTAAAGTGGATTAAGTTACTGTTGAAAGGAAGGAAAAACAAGGGTGCTTCTCATGAAAATAGTGTTCCCATAATAAAACAGAATTAGGCAGACAAGCATGTGTTAGAAGTATGAAAGGAATGTTAGTTAATGTGTAGTATTTGTATTGGATACTGTGACGCTTGTGTGTCTGGTATCAAACTGGTCGTTCTAAAGCAGAAACCAGTGATGGAGTAAAGCTGTAAAGCCTATTTATACTAGTTTTGAAGGGATCCAGTTCTAAGATCTGTGGTGATAAATGGTCAGAATTATGGGAAAGAAGCCTGAATGGATGTTTCCATTACTATTCCTCTTCCAGCCTGTGTTTTATTCTTTATGTTGCTGTGGAACCAAATCTTTAATTTGTGTATCTTGTTT